AGCTCTCCCCATGGCGTTGGTATTCAGCTTACACGAGAAACATCTCTCATATCCCACCTTGGAACCACACACCTGCCTCGAAGGAGAAGAAGAAATTATTTCCTCAACTAACTCATAGATACCCTCCAAATATACGTCTCGTTTCCCATAAGAGCTGTGACATCTCTTTCTGCTCCTTCACTTACTACAAACCATCAGCTACGGCCGCTGGCGTCCCCGGGGAGCCACACTGGCACTGCAGCCATGTCATACTATGCACAGACTTTCCCATCAAGCAAGCACAAATCCTCGCTGCCCACCCACGGTAGCAGCACTGACGTCACCTCCTTGGCTGGGGAGGGTTAGAGACCGTGAAGCGGCACACAACATGTTTCTTCCTGCCTTGAAAGACTGCATGAACAGTCCTTTGCATGCGTGTGTTCCGCATTGAGGTGATGGTGGAGGCACAACACACCCTTCTCACAGGGTAGGTCTTGCCCTAGTCCATGGGGTGACCACCATCTGTCAACATTTGTCTCCTCAGTGCCCTTTGTGGGATGCAAACTATAGATGGGGGGAATGAAAATGGTGAAGGTGTATATAGAGTTTATGGAGAAATTATTAGTAACTTCATGGTTAACGTGCAAACATGGATCTTTGGTAAGGCCCTGAGCATGAAGACAGGTTCAGTATGTGCTTAATTTTGTTACGAATTGTCACATCAGTAAGTCTAACAGAAAATATAAGACTGTGTGAAAGTGTCCATAGAGTCAGGCCTTAGACCTTACGGTGACATTTTCTGAGATTGATTGCATATGGTGTGCATTTTTTGCAGTTGCTTTCTCTCGGAAATGCCTCTCCCAGCACTTTGAATGCCCTCTCCTGGGTGCTGCAGAAGCTCTGCTGTCTGGACAGGAGACCCATGCTCAGTTAAGTGGCCAGGGCAGGAGACCTGTCTGGACATGTGGTAGAGGTCCCAGGGTGAGGGACTCTTTGTCTCATTCAGTGTTATAAGGGATTAAATCATTAATGAAGCTTTATTTAGCTTCCTGGCTAAGCTGGCCCTAAATTTTCATTTGTTACATATCTTTCTTGCTTTTATCTCTTGCAGATTCTGTGCTCATACAGGAATATTCAGTTTGCATGCAGGATGTAAAAAAGGTCTTATGAAATTACTTTGAACAAAGGCCTAGATTCACAAAAATATGTCAGTACCTAATTTATTCTGAGGAGATGGTAGGGGTAATACAGTGTCTTAAATGTTTTCTTATATTTATTCTGCTGATGATATCACTCACTCACAGCAATATTTTTTATTCTTCATGCGACTAATTTTGTAGCACAAATCCAGAGTTGTCAGACTGCAGAAATTTGAATGCAAAGAAACTATTGTTAAATATGAAAAATGGTATTGTGTGGTACGCAGATATGAGATGAAGCTACTTTAAAAACTTCAATAGATATCAAAATGGAAAGCAATAAATATGAACACTGTTCACAGAATTGACAAGATAGCTCAGGGATGCATGCCTAAGATGTAATTTCTGCAATAAAAAATACTGTAGTTTTACTGAAGAAGTGCGGCAACAATACTGTGTCTGTTTTGCCTGTCGGAGTATAGATGACACTCTTGCAGCCAGTCTCCATTCCACTCCAGATCATTTCCAAGATGCTGTAGATCAACAGGGTGATCAAGGACAAAGTCACGGCCTGAGTCATTAAGGGAAGGTCAAAGTATGTGGAAAAATCAGGGTCAAGCTCCCAAGAAAGGTCCTCCAGTTCAGGAAGAAAAATTAAGGTTTTCTTCTTCAATGCTGAGACCTCTGTCCCAATCTCCCCAGAGAAACACACTGACATTCAAACTAAAGCACAATGTAAGGAAACATTACAACATCCAAATTCTCTCTCATGCTCCAGCTTTCAGAGCTTCTGTTATGAAACTGGTTATTGACTGGCATTTGAAGATGATCGACACCTGTTTCAAATGGTTAAATTTCTCAGGAGTATAGAACATAATAGATTATAAAGTTGTTTGAGACTTAGTAATCTTATGATAACCCACTCGCTGTCTTGAAATGAATACAATGAAGAATCTCACTGATATTTGGTATTTTATTTGAAGGGGATGTCCTCTTCTCAGAACTCTGAATTTGGGCTTACACTTAAGTCTTTCCATTGGCAAGAGAAAATTTGGCCTGACAGAGTGATGCTACGAGAACTCCATTAAATCAGAATGACTGTTCATGTGAGGAAGCAGAATACAAGGAGGACTTCAGTTTCTGATGTTCTGTACCTCGATGACGTTTAGGTGCCTATGATATTGAAGCGATGCCACGAGTGCCTCCAGAACAGAGCTGAGGCTAAACTGGCAAGTCTTGCAAAACCTGTCAAAAGCTTTGCCAATTCAAAAAAACAGCTAACTCAGCAAAAGGCCAGGCTGAGTGAGTCTGAAATGGGATCCACGCTCTGAAATTCAATTAGCTCATCCAGGTTAGATGAACGGTCAGGCTAGTTTCACAGGGTATTATTAAAAAGTTTGTGTTAAGCACAGTGAAAGGTGACACACAGGTAAACCAGACACAGTATCCATCTGGCATCTTGTATGGAAACTCTATTTAGAAAGTCAAAATTAACTGAAAAGTGTATTTATGCATATAAAGTCATATTTTGCTGTAATGAAACCTTGCATGTGTCTGAACACATCACTTTTACATATTGCTGAACGGTGTCTTCATTATATTATAACTGTATTTTGAAAGTATGTTGCATTAAAAGGCAAACATCTATACACTGGGAAAGAATTTGCCCCAGTAGCAGATTTCATACTTTACCTCACCTTGGTTTTGACCAACTGGATAATTATTTTGGGGGAAAATAAGGAATATTGGACTCTTCTTCAGTTAACAGTATTAAGGACGTTCTGATAAGCTGCAATATTTTTTGTTTTATTCTATGTAAAGGAGGATTTTCAGGTGTGATAATGTATGGCTTCTAACTGAAATGTGTTCATCAAGATGGTGTTGGTTATACAGTATGGGCACAGTCCAAGAATACAACTTGATTAGTTCTAACTTCATACAGAGTGAGATGGTATGTTAAAAATAGCTCGATTTCAACAATTAGGATGCTTTTAATAAAAGAGGGACTTTGAAAGGACTCATTCTTTTTTCTTAAATATTTTTGCCAATCGAGTCATGGCTCTCTTTATGCCATATAGGTTGCCTGTACATTCGTGTAGCAGCTAATCTTTTTTAAAATGAATTTGTCACTTAATGGACATCTAGTCTATGCAATGTACTGCTGCAAAATATCACCGAAACTAAAATCCAGCAGGCCTGAAAAGTATTGCAATTTATTTGTATTTATGAATACCATAATTAACCAAATTTATTACAAATATTTTAAAAAAGAGTTTGAAGGCGAGATGAAAAAGCATCAGATTTTATACCACTCTCTAAGAGCTTAGAGGAGATTTCTTCGGAAATAAATGACCTGATACCTATCTCCTCTATGCTGTAACTAGGTTAGTACTGACAATGACAGGTACCAGCCTAGATAAACTAGTGAAATTCTGAGAAACAGAATTATTTATGATCTCCTCCAAACCTGTAAAAGTAGTTGCCAGAAATGAACGCGCCCCTTTCTGTTTGCTGACTGTTGAGGCTGAGGTTAGACATAGGCGTCTAACTTGTAGGCCCTCGATTTATGGCATATTCTACACTGTGTATCCTATGATAAAAACACAGGATAGAGAGCAACGACATACAGTTTTACTCCTAGTTATTGCAATTTCCTCCAAAGTTCGTAAGTTCACAGTAGGAAGTATGTTCTTCTGTATTTTTAAAACCCCAGGGACACAGTAATTAATGTCATAAGTTTGTGTTTTACAAAATACACCATCTGCCAAAAGTGCATTGGATGTTTTCTTTTAGAAATTGAGGGTTCCTGCCTAATCCATTTTGTCTTAATTTTCCAGCTGCCTTTTTGGTAAAACACAAGCTGAAGAAAATCAAAAACATTAACTTTTTTGTTTTTTTTCTATTCTTTCTTGTTTGCTCTCTTTTCAGTGTTCTAATGCAACAGTACAACAATAATTCAACAATATTTTGACCTAATAAATTACTGCCCGACGTTCACTTAAAATAAATGTATTACACTGAGCCACAAATACAGATTCAGCTGCTGCTGGCTGTGTTTTCCATCTGCAGAGCCTTTCCCCAAAACTGCCCGACGACATCCCATAGATGATTCTGACTCACTGGGATCTCACAAAGCCTGGGCCTGATGCAGGTATTAGCAGTGGACATCGACTCAATGAAGCAGCAGAGTAAAAGCAGGTAGGGAATTTTTAAGGGTGGTTGCGTCTGCACATGAACTAACAAAAAATAAATATAGGGAAGGACTGGTTTAATCTGTCTACATAACTCACTTAAAATTAACTTGCAATTAGGCCCTCACCAGGAATTACTCAGTGATTATACCCTCCAGCTGCCTAATACAAGCATGAGTTCTGGGCAAGGCTGTACGGAGGAGCGATGGGCTGCGGTTCCCAAAACGGGTCCTTTCGGGGCCACCCCTGCAAAATGCCCAAGCGAGCCACTAGAGGGAACTCAGCCTGTTCCTTACGAGGCCTCGGCACTGCACTT